TAAAAGATACAAAGTATGTTCTCATTGCATATATTAAATAGTGCAATACATGCATCACTAATTTTATGATGGGAAATTGTATTACTACATAAGATTTCATACGATCCCGTAACCCTACGTAGGATTTCACTGTAATTTTTCATAAATCTTATGATACCGTAACCTACGTAAGATTTCGACTGTAATATTACGTAAAAAATACGACCCGTAACCTTACGTAGGATTTCACCATAATGTTTGTAAATCTTACGATACTGTAACCTTACATAAGATTTCGACCGTAATAATATGTAAAAAATACGACCCGTAACCCTACGTAGGATTTATCCATAATGTTTCGTAAATCTTACAAACTCGTAAACTCGCGTAGTTTTACAACGTAATACTCCGAAATATTACGAAAATCGTAAATCTACAGAATATTACGAAAATCATAAATCTACGGAATATTACGCCACATTTAAGTTCCAGATGCAGCAGATAATCCATTAGCAAAACAGAATTTATTGAATTTATTAGAAGTTCCAATTTATCTTAGTTCTTTAATAAATTATTAAATAATTTTTGGGATAAAATAAAAAATAAAATTAAATCTTTTAATAAAATTATCATAATAAATAAAGTTATAATTAATTTTTTAATTTTTATTAATATTATTAAAACTGGTATTATTTGATATTTTTAAAAACCAGTTTTATGTTTAAATTAAAATCAATAAAAAAAATATATAAATTTGACAACCTGTTAAGCTGATTTAATTAAGTTAGTTTTTAAATAAAACATCATAATATAGAAAATTAACTGATCTATTAAATATATTAATATTACTAAATAAACTTGATAAAAATTTTTCTTAAAATTTAATTTTGTAAGTAAATTTGAAAATATTTAAAATTCTATTAGATAATTTTATTTAATTAATTATATAAAATAATATTTTATTTGAGATTTTGATATATTTTGTTTTAACATTTACAGTATATTATAAAATGACTTAAATTATCAGTCATTTAACTTTTAAGTGACCTAATGACTAGTAATAAGTCATCAAAGTCATTTGGATCCTTTTTGGTCACTTGTTATTATTGATATATAATGATAAATGATAAGTTTTTTTTAAAAAATTAGAAGTATAAGTATGAAAATTTGCTTTTTATTATTATTTTTTTTTAATAATTGAAAAGGTAGGTATGATAATATATATATATATTTTTATATACTCTTTTTTATATATATTTTTTCTTTTTCTAATATTAGAAGTAAAGATAGGCATCATAATTAAAAAAATAATGCAATTGAATTGCAATTTAATTGAAATTTGAAAATAATTATAGGAATCATCTTTAATTAGAAAGGTAGATAAGACAATATATTTCTTTTTTGCTTATTTGCTTTTTTAGTTTAGTTTATTTTAAAAATTGAAGACAAATGAATGATTACAATAATAATAATGATAATAACAAATTAATATTTCTTTTTAAAAAATTTATGAGGGTATGAGATTTTGCTTTTTTTTAGATTTTTAAGAATAGGGTTGGAAATATATTTTTTTTCTTATTTACTTTTTATATTTTTATTCTGAAATATAAAAAAAAAATTATAAAATGAATAATTTAATATAAATTGAAATGTAAAATTTTAATCAAATTGTATCTAAATTGTATTTTGGTTGATTTTAGATAGTTGATTTTAGCTGAATTTATATTAATTTTAGGCTTAATTTTTAGGTTAATTATATCTGAATTATAGCTGAATTGTTTTATTTCAATTTGTTTTAATTAACACTGATTTTTGCCAATTTGAATTAGACCAAATTTGGCTATAATTTAGATACAATTCAAACATCTAATTACTGATCAAATTGGACTATTTAAGTTTTAAACAGATTAGTTATTAAATTTTCTTTTATTTTTATTTTAAAATTTTCAAAAATATGGATTTTAATAGTTTTATAATTGTAACTAAGATTGTTGGACAAAATTTAAAGTTTATATAAACGTTTAAATGGTAAAAGTAAATAAACCTTATTAAAAAAATTTGTGTAAAACTATATCAAAACTTATAAAAATAGCAAAATTATATCAAATACTTAGTAAAATTTTAGCAAAATTAAAGGTTTAGATGTTTAGTCAAATCAAAAATGAGTTTAGACAAGCAACCTTAATTGTAACAGACTTTATAATAAAAGTTATTGACTTACATATTAATTTAAACAAAACTTATTCTTATATAAAAATCTTATATCTTAAATTTTTATAAATCATTAAATAATTAAATTACCTTTTAATAAATAGTAATATAAAGTTTATATTCCTATGAATTCATGCTTTATAACAACATTCTTTGACAAGAATCAAATTAGCAAATTTTTTTTATTACATTTCATCATTGTAGATAATTCATCGGCAGATCGATCTCCGATGTAAACGCAACTCCGGTGGTAGTAACGTTTGATAATCGTCACATGACAAAATCGTTGTTAAACAAATCGGAATAAACTTGACCTTCGCTCCGCGGAAAAAGCTGGCCGTAATTGGCCGTAATTCTAATGAATGGATACTGAAACTTCAGCAAATTTATCATGTGAGAGATATGCATCATCTAATCTTTCTTTAAACTGCACAGCAATGAATAAGATGAAAATTAGGTCAGTCAATATAACCAAATTAATAAGTTTGCAGATATTATGACATAAATTTAGAACTAACTATATATATAATTTTTTTATTTTATTTTATTTTATTTTTTTTTTTATTCTCCATTTGATAAATAATAAATAATGTCTGCGTCAAATGGATTGTATGAGTCATGGATTGAGAACGCCATAAGTAATCAACATATTCAGCTTTTTAGCCATGGAGATTTTAAAAATAAGGATAATTGCGGAAAAGGTGGATTAGGTCAAATCAAGCGTGCTGATTGGCAATATTTAGATGGAAAAGTAGCATTAAAGGAATTATTGGATTACAATATTAAAAGATTCGTACAAGAGGTAACTTATCGTTTTGCATCTTTTTTTTTTATCATTCATTTAATTCAACTTATTATCTACTTAGGTGAAAATGCATATCTCATGTCATTGGAGCGAATATGTTGTACGTTTCTTTGGATTGACAAAAGGTTAAATTGGTTATGCAAAGTTTTCATATTACATATAAGTAAATAAAATAAAATACAAATTAATCGGACTTTTTATTCATTCATCTTGACAGAATCTCCAAACAATAAGTACATGATGGTTATGGAATATGCCAACTTTAAAAGTCTTCGAAATTTTTTAAAAGTTAAAGGCGTAACAAACATCGATTGGGAGGTCAAATTTAAACTTTCGCTTGACATAGCCAAAGGGCTTAATTGCCTACACTCTCGTAAAATCATTCATCGTGATTTGGTAAGACCATAAAACTTTACAAAAAAAAAAAAAATTTTTTTTTTAAATACTCATTTATTGTAAAATCTAATTTGCACGTACGTTTTGTTTCCTTTAAAATAAAAAATATTTGAAGCATACTGATAATATAGTAATAAATCAAATATTTTGGAAGACAAGTTGTTGTCAACCGGAATTTATAGCAAAAATCACAGATTTTGGGGAAGCAATATTTAAGGATGAGATTTTGAATGAAAACGGCGGTTTTGGTCAGCCTGAATTCACAGATCCCAATTATTTAGATCGTGGGATAAAAAGAGATGAAAGATCGGACATTTATGGTTTGGGAGTTATTTTTTGGGAAATTTCATCCGGTAAAATGCCATTTGAAAAATATGCTCGTGACTCTGGGAACGATATTTTACTTTTAACAATTCAGATAATAAGTGGAAAACGTGAAAAGGTACCTGAAGAAACTCCAGAATGTTATTCGCTACTCTATCGAGATTGTTGGAACCTTGATCAAAGTAAACGACCGACACTTGAAAAAATTATCAAGGTTTTAAATAAATCTGTTTCCAATGCGGAAGATATAGAAGGTAAAAAGGGTTGCTTTTCATTTAATTCACTTTTAAGCATATATATTAAATCGCAAATATCATATGGTAGATGCCAGTACTCTGAGCTTTGATGAAGAAACTAACAATGAATCGGATAATAATGTTCGGATCAATGGTAGTGATATGGATACTGATAATGAAACTAATATAATGGATCATAATAATGAATTGGATGTGAATAATTACTAGGAATTGAATATTGAATATTTAGGTTTCTTAATTAAGGATACTTAAGAGTATCTTACACATTTCATCTTGACTCCTAATTATTAGAAGTTATTCATCGTAAAATTGACAAAAAACCGAATAAAACAGTCGGGAAAGGGAGAAATTGTAACTACATAGGTTATAGATATATATGAAGTATAAAAGAATTCAAAAGGTCACAAAACATGGGTTTTAGCTTATTGAAGAATGTGACATGTGCGTTATTTCGTTATTTGTGGAAGCAATAGTGTTACTAATGATAAATTCGCAAAAGATTAACGAGAATTGGTCAACAAGAATAGTTAATGAATACAAATATATGCGTAAGCTACGTGTTTAAAGCTGCGGCATGGCGGCGGAGTATGCATGAAAAAAATAAAGATTAATCATTTACCTTATTTTAAAATTTTGAAAGTTGAATTTTTATTTATTTTTTAATGAATTTTAGGTTAAAAAAACAGGTAATACCTCATCAACTCAGGTACTTATAATAGTAAAATATTATATAAAATGTAAAAGTTCATCAAAAACTTCTTCAATTGTTGGCCTATCTGACGGTTTCCCATTCCAACAAAGCTTACAAAGTTCATATTTATGAGCATCTATTATGTTGCCTTCTCTATAACCATCTTTAATTTTTTGAACCAACTGTAAAATACCCTCGTCCTTATCCTTTGAATATGGAACTTTACCGCTCATGATTTCCCACAACAAACTTCCAAAACTATATATATCCATTGATTTATTCTTTACAAAATGTTCATTTAATAATGAATCTGGATCGATGTATCCAATATTGTCAAAAAATTGTTGATCAAAAAACACGGATTTATTTTTTTCATATGGTAATGGCAAGTCCGAGATTTGTGCCATTCCTTCAAACATAAGGATATTTTTTGGATGCTATGAAAAAAATATTATTAAATAAAAGCAAAACAAAAAGAATTATTAAATTAATCATAAAAACTTACTAAATTTTCATGGATAATATCTTTTATGTGTAAATATTTGATTCCGTCTGCAATTTTTATTGCAATGCCAACCTTTTTCTCTATAGAAAAGTCCTTGTCCTTTAAATAATTCCTTAAATTACCTTCAGGAGCAAATGGTATTATTAAAAAAGTATTACAATCTTCATCTATGAAAATCATAACAAGCGTTAAATGAATGTTAAATTTTTTTTTAAGCAAAAAAATTTACTTAAAAAAATATATATTACCTTCAAAAATTCCTAAACATTCAATGATGTTGGATTTTTTACATGTATTAGTCCAAAAATTCAACTAAATAAAAAATATACATATTAATAAATAAACAGAGAGAATCAATTACCGATAAAATATTTTTACAAACATACTTTTTTTCGTACCAATATTGACTTTTTATTTTGTAATTTCTGTAATTTCTTAATAATAACTTTTTTATCATTTGCCAACATTGCAGACCTAGTATTATTTTGACAATTTTCAAACTTTTGTATATTAGTTATTTGACTTTTATCAATTTTATTGAACTCATCTGCAATATCATCGTCAGCAAATTTGGATCCCCCATCAATTCTAGGTTTAATAAAATTAACTGGACCATGATTAAGATCATTATTAAAATATTTTTGGGGTAATGATTTATATACCGATATGGAATTTTCGGAAAATATATTATTGTTATGTTTATTGGGATCAAAAATTATTCCATTTTGAAATGATGTGTCAATTTCTTGATAATCTAAATAAATTATGATTCATTATGATTAGGATAACGATAACATTAAGATGGATTTTTGACAAATTATTATTAGGCTTACTATAATCTTGTTCAGGAGTTTCATTGTATCTAGTATTATGGAATCTTTCGGTTCCTTTTAGAAATAAAATGATCCAATTAGAAAACATAATATTTTTTTTAAAAAAGAAAAAAAGAAAGGAAAATATTAAACAATCTTACTTGTTGCTTGCTCAAGTATATTACTGGTTTGTTCTGACGAAAAAACTCGATTGACAATTTGTTTGATTTGGGAGGAATCATAATTAAATATGAATTCACTTGAAAAGAAATCTACCAGTTCATTAATCGTAGGACGATCAGAAGGAACCACTTTCCAACATTTGGTAATAAATTCTGGAATATCTCGTCCAAACTGTGATCTATCCTCATCATTGAATCTTGTGAGTGGTTCTTGTTCAAAAATAATTTTATAAAAAACCATTCCAAGTGAATATATATAAGATGCTTGACTAACTTTGTTCCCCTCTAAAATCTCGGGTGCGGCATACGCTATATTCGATCCTTGTCTGAAATTGGTAAAAATAGAAATCCTTGCGTTATTAAAATCGTCTATTAAAATGTTGTTTGAATTCAAATATCCTAAACTAATATGTGTCTCTTGAATAATACTTTTTAATCCAATTACTATTTCCTTCATCATTTTATATTTTTTACTCAAATCCAATTTATTTTCTTTCAAGTATTGTTCCAGGCCTTTTCCATCTTCCATAACTAGAATATATTCACTTGTTTCCGGATTTAAGGAGAATCCAAACAATCTAACAACATTATTTTTAATTTGTAGATAATTCTTTATCTAAATTTAAAATTACAATTACAATTAAATTTAGAGAACGGTATGCAAATTAATTAAATGGATTTTTAATACCTGGGAAAGAACTTCAGAAAGTTTCTCCTCGTTGAAGCATTGCAATCCAACTTTAATGATATCATTTATTCCAAGTTCTATATTTCCGTCTATCAAAAGTGCTACATGAAATCCTTTAGAATCATCATACGTAATGTCTTTCAACCTATTATAATTTATCCATTTAAATTCATAAAACGTTTGAAAAGGGGTTTTTTTTATGAATTCATCCATAACTTCATTTCCGCTGGTACAACCTTCTTGTTGTCGCTTATTGTCTTCATAAAATGATTGAGAATTCGATCCAGAAGGGTCATAATCAAGCATTTCAACATCATCATCGAGTTCCAAAGAACCTTTTTGATTTTCTTGTTTTTCTTTAAAATCGCTCATAATTAAAAAAATGTCCGATATTATTATAAAAATTAAAAAACAACTTATATTGCCGGAGATGAGCTCCTTAAATTCTGTAATACAAAAGTACAAAAAGTGCATGTTGTTCGGTACAAGAAATGATCGTCAAAAAGAAAAAAAAGAAAATAATGAACCGGAATATAGCAATATTCCCTGGAACTTTCTATATAAACCTTCCTTTTTTTCTCTAGTGTTTTCCCAAAACTTTGAAAAAAAATAAATAAATAAAGCACAAAAAGTCAATGAAAAGGATTATCATAGTATTTAAATTTTTTTGCGAAACTAAACCAAAAAAAATTTTTTCCTCGAGTTTTTACAATAAATTTGCAAAATTAAACCAAACTTTTTTTTTTAAAGCTTTTTTTATATATATAGAGATATATCAATTCAAACCTTTAAAAATATCATCGTCATAAATTATAACACCTTGCATTTATTTCTCGAAATTATATTATATATAGAATTACATCTTCTTTTTGAAAGTTTTTGCAAAAAAAAAAATGCCAAACTCAAACAATGAATATAAAATCAGTGGCGTCGGCGGTAACTATGCAGCTAAAACGATGACATGCGTAAATGAGGCAGTAGCACCTTTCTTGCCACTTGTGACCGTGATAACTACCTTAACAAAAGAGATAGCTGACGCTTATGAAAATGTTCAATACAATAAAAAGACTTGTGGAGCTTTAGTAACTCGAGTCGAGGCCGTAGAAGTTGCGATTAAAGGGTTAATAAGACAAAAAGAAGAGAATATTGATAAATTTTGTAATCAAAGTTATTATAATTCCTTCTCAAAGTTGGCGAATTGCTTAAAGCAAATTAAAGAATTTTTTAATGATATTTCCCAATTATCTAAATTTAAAAAATTTGTTTCAAGTGGGAGTATTAAAGATACCTTTGAAAAGATCGTAAAAGATCTTGATAGTTGTTCGATTGATTTAAATTTGGCAATATCGATTGCCACGGAACAGTTGAATTCAATTTTACATTCCGATATGATTGAGATGAAGATGTTTTTAGATAATATTGAAGGTGGTATTACATATTTGGTCAATGATAGAAAAACTAACGTCAATTCCACCGAACTCAGTGTAGATAATAAAAACATTGTTATTAAAATTAATAACATTGAAGAGCAGAATCAAAAAATCATCGAACAAAACAACGAACTCTTAGAATACAAAGACAAACAAAAAACGCTTAACTTTACTCCACTCAACGGAGAAATTGATGCGATTCGCTTCTTGAATGAAAATGATACAAATTCAAAGGTTGACCCTGAAGCGAAAGCAAAGGGAATCGATCCTTTAGACTTGAAAGATGCGGCAGAACATGTCAAACGTGGTAAAAAGGAAACAGTTCTAAAAAAAGTTTATAAAACAATGGACGTTGCTTGCAAACATATTCCTATGGACAAGATTGTTCAAAAGCATCTTGCTATTTTGGGAAAGTTAGAAGCATGTCCATACATTATTCGGTTTTATGGATTATCAAAGTTAGAACGAGGGAATGTAATGGTTTTTGAATGGGCCGAATACGGAAATTTAAGGCAGGTTTATCTTAATTACAATATTGGATGGGATACGAAGATTTCTTTGGCAAGGGATATCTGCCGTGGTTTAATTTTTTTGCATGCAGGTATGATCATTTGAATTTCGTGTTTCAAGATGTGTCAAAAAATGATAAATTAACGTAAATTTACCATCAAAACTCAGTGAAGATTTTGCATCATGATATTAGGTGTGAGAATGTGTTAATTACCGAAAAAATGCAACCTAAAATCTGCAATTTCAAATTTTCTCGTGAATTTCATGCTGTCACCAGTCAAATTGATGATATGAATGCTATCGTACATTGGTTAGCTCCCGAAAAGTTAAAAAACATCACTTCGGATCCAGACCCGAAAAAATATAATAATAAAACTAGTTATACCATTCAATGTGACATTTTCAGGTTAGTTAATCGACTTTTTTTTTTTGTTATTAGAAAAAAAGAAATTCAATTCGATCCTAATTTTTAAATCTTTTTTTTTTAGTTTTGTAATGCTTCTTTGGGAACTTGGCTTTCAAAAAAAGCCATATGAAAATATGAGCATATCTGATATACAAAAACACGTTTTAAAAGGTAAAAGGGAAATTTTGGACGAAGGATTAAGTCCTAATCTAATTAAAAAAGAGTATTGCGAAATTATTAAACTTGGTTGGGAGCAAGAAGCATCATTACGACCTGGTATTCAGCAAATTTTCAATATGTTGCAAAAGTTATATGAGAAGCATGTCTTAAGGGTTTCTCCGCATTTACGTCCGAAGGAAGAAGTTATAGATGTTGATGAAGATATACATAATTTATCGATTTTGGATCACGATAAAAGGGTTATACCATTAACACCATTCAAGGAAGGTTTGGTGGCTCACAAAAAACATGAATTTAAAAAGGCATGGAATTGTTTTGAGGAACACGCAAAGGTTGGTGATATATTGGCGAAATACTGGCAAGGTTATTATTACTTGGAAGGAAAATGCGTTGAAAAGGACCTTAAAAAAGCTAAGGAATTATTTAAAGAAGCAGCAGATGGTGGAAATGCTGATGCCCAATTACGTTATGCATTTTGTTTAATTGATAAGGAAAATGAGCATATTGATTATACAAAGTTTTTAAAATATTTGAAAATGTCGGCCGATAATGATAATTCCACTGCCCTTTATAATCTGGGTGAAATGTATTTCAATGGTAGGATGGGTGTTGAAACGGATCAAGTTAAGGGTATTCAATATTTAAAATTGGCTGCTTTAAAAGGTCAACCGAAAGCAAAAGAAATTTTGAAAAACAATAATATAATTTATTATAATTAAATATTTTTTGATTCTCTTGTATATTTATATCATTTTATACAAATAAATACGATTTAAATATTTTGAAAATACGTCTATTAGAGTTTAACAATTTATTTCGATTCAACTGTGTAGTAACACCCGATGTAAATTTCATTATGTAATTTCATTCATACGTAAATTGATGCAATGAGTTCAAGTGCCGAACCGCTCCTCATGAAAGCAACTACCCAAGTTTTGATTTTAATATATTTATTTATAAAGGTATTTCCAAATCTTAAATGAATAATTGGATGGCTGAAGTCTCTTTCATTAGCAAAATATTAATTCCATACATTCAAAGAGAAAATCTAGACTATTCTTTTCTGCATGTTTAATTTTATTTTCTTTACAATTTTTGTATATTATTTAATCTAATTTTGTAAAAAATTTCCTGTATGTCAGAACTCGTAAGATTCACATGTATATTCGATGAAGAACAATCCCATAATTTTGAAAAAGTGTATATAATTGATGTGAGCTTGATTTATTTAATCGCTTTTTGATAGGAAGGGAATCTTTTTTTCTTTTTTTTCCGGTAATTATTTTTCAATACTAATGATAATTTAACAGAACAGAAGAATAAAGGTAAAAAATATGATGATAAATCATGATAGAATAGTTAGATATCACATACTGTATGTTATACTTACAACTTGTTATTAAAGTTAGTAAGTTGAAAATTGTGATTCTATTGACCACCTTTGAACTATGAACATTTTGATTATTTATTATATTCATTGGAATTTCTCTTCTTTGGCAGTTATAGTATTTCAAATTGAATGGTAAATATTTACATTATCTCAAAAAAATAATGGTAAGGATATTATAAATTTATAAATAATTGAGTAAGTTACATGTTGTATCAAAATTTGGTATCGTTAGATATTTTAAAATGCACATATAGCATTTTGACATATTTTTATGATTTGCGTCTTAAATTAATATTGCTCTTACTGATTCTTGAACAATAATGTAAAGAAGAGGTTATAGTTTGTAACCAATTGATAATTCATCTGGCACTTGAAAATTTATAACCTTCTGGCTTTATTAATTCAGCCATTCATAATAAAATGTTTAGATTTTTAGAATGATGCTGCGTCAGGAACAAATTATTTAATTAACCTGCTCTTCATAATCCTTGCCTTTTACTTTGGTTATATAATTTATTTATTAATTTTCTTTGTTAAATTGTTTTTCATATTTTTCGTAAAGTTGTTTCTCAAATGAAACGTAGGATATAATTTAGAATAGATAATTATTCCACCGGTGATATTTACAAAATGATAAATAATAGGGTAACATCTAATTGTAACCGATTTATGCAGATGGATCTTTTTGCAATCATTATTAAATTTCCTGTAATTAATTGATTAAATCTATAATATAATATTTAGGAAAAACAAACCTACACTTGTTCACGATCTTATATTATAACATTGAAAATTTCACCGTCGGTAATCATGAAACGGTCGAATGCTGATTTATTGGGAGTCTACAAACTCTCTAGATTTTGCATATATGACAAAACGCCTCTGATTTCAGATTTGCACGTTTGAAGTTGACCATCTCCAAATTATATCATATTAGTAAGGGGTGAAGGATCATTATGTCCAATGTGAACAATACCAAAGGAATCTGGTGATTTTAATGCAAAACGCAATTTACATGGCGTCTTCAGGAAAAAACGGTAATTACCGGGTCAGAAACTGATTACATAGTAAGCACTCTTAACCATCGAAGGATTTTTTTTTCCTAACATACTACCCCTAATTCAACGCGTCGAATTCTTTTCTTAATTCTTTACCTATTAACCTAACTCAATGTTAAATTGAGCTTTGTAACGGTTTATTAAAAAAGATCATAAAAATAATATATTGAAAAAAATGTCATCTGAATTTATAATTTGTTATCCTACTAAAAAACTCGAGAGATATTTTTTTTTTTACATAATATCTTCATTTATTTTCCAATGGGTTAGTTACGCGGTGACTACTAATTATTCTTTGGTCTAAAATTTAAAAATTAATTGATCAAAAATATAAACTACATTTCGTATAGAACTTATACATTGATATAAAAAGGATACACGTTTCATTTTCTTCACAA